AAAATATAGAATTTATTGTCGACTCTCTTTACTTTTTATTAAGATTTCGTTAAATAATATATTACTTAACATCATACATGCGTGGCTTTGTGTATATGTATATTGCATAACATAACAGTCATTTAAAGATTTAACACATACATATACAAACTAAATAAACTGTAAAAAAAAACAATATCACATGAAAAAGTAATACACTGTAATAGATTTTTAAAATTATTTTAAACATCTGCCTCTGCAATAAGTTTTAATATTTGATTAATGATACGTTTGGAATCATCTGCAGTGATACTTCGAAGACATGATTCAAGATATTTAGTAAAAGATTCAATTTTATCAGGCTTTGCGTGAGATTGATTTGTTGGTTTTGTACGTTCCAATTCTCTCAAAATAGCTTCTTCACAATAAGAATAATTTTCATCTTTTTTTTCAAGCGTTCTTGCTTTTTCTGTAAAAAAATTAAAATAAGTACCTCTTAAATATTACTTTCAGTATAAATATTTCTTGTACATATATATATATTAACAAATACTTTTTAGAGAAAAGCAAGTAAAATAAAGTCTCTGGAATAAATCCTTCACTATATGTTAAAGAAATATTTAGAATTTTTATAAAATATAATACTTTGTATATACATACTGTATTTTCGTTTATATGTTGACTGTATTTCGATGTCAGAGTTATCTGTATCTGGTGTTTTGTTAAGCGAAGCTATGTAAAAAGAATATTAAAGAAAAATAAAATAAAATATTTAAGTACTTAACGTATATTTACTTACAATAATTTTGCTTTGGATTCAACGGTGACCTTAATAAAGTTCTTTTCTGTGATATTTGTGGCTGATATAAATTATCGTCTTTTTTTGCATAATTTGCTCTGGAAGCAGAAAAGGATTGTTCCACTGAGGATGATGATGATGATGGAACCACATTTTCAATATTGCTTATGGTTCTGAAATTTAATTATTTATTTTAACTTGTGTTATTTTGTTACTGTGTTATTTTATATACATCAAAAGACACAGTATTCACCTTCTATAATTTACTGTTGGTTCTAGGAAACGTAAACTTTCATAAAAGGACCAAGTACTTTCCTTTTTTTTAGCTGCACTGCCACTTGGGATGTAAGAATTAACTAAATTATATTCCTTTACAAAACAGTCTCTTATATTCTTCCATTTTGTCTGGCTTGTACCAGGAGCTGTACCTATTAAAA